GAACAAATCAGTTAGTTCAGGGTACCGCATCACGCTTACTCAGCCTGAAAACAAAACCTGGAGAATACCAGAAAACCTTGGACACAAAGTTCACAGTGAAAGAGGATGGCAGCATTTGCTACTGTGGAACTCCACTCACAAAAAGCCAGCGACCTGCTAGAAGAAGTGAGGGCACAGACAAAGGCACTGCTACAGAGATTCAGAAGATTATTGATAACACAGTTAAGTACATGGACAGCAGATTTAAAAATCTGTGTGAAAAGCCTCTCTCTTGTTTCAAAGTGTTTGACCCTTCCACTCTTCCCCACACCAGAGAAGAGCTGGCAAATTATGGGGATGAAGAGGTGGATTATCTTGTCACACATTTTGCCAGTTTGCTAAATGGGGAAGAGAAGGAGAAAATTCCACAGGAATGGATTGATCTAAAAATGTGGCTTGCACAACACCGGGGGAACAAGCTAGATTGTACAGAGATCTCCTCTCTGAGAATCCAGAACACCTTTCTCATATCTTGTTGCTGGTGAAACTAGTGCTCACTCTTAGTACATCGACAGCCATCAGCGAGAGAGGATTTTCCTGCATGAACCGAGTGAAGACCACATATCGTACATCTCTACAGCCTGACACACTGAATGACTGCAAGCAACTCCCCATAAATGGGGATTCAGTTGAATCTTTTTGCCCTGACAAGGCAGTTAGTTTCTGGATGTTTTCTGGAAAAGGTTCAAGACACATGGAACATAAAACCCCGACAAGAACAAAGAGCAGAAAAGTGGAGACTGATGCACAGGAGAAGGATGATGAAGAAGATGCTATGCCCTCAACGTCGAGTGCCATTTGTACCTGCCCGAAGGGCTACCAGGGATTTTGAAATTCTGCGAGCCCTGAGAATGGAGAAGTTTTGAGGTACTCGACTTTGAGTATCTCGACTAGTAGGGATTTCCCATCTTAGGCCAAAACCTTAGCAGCATTTAAAAAAAAGAAGGGTAGATGGTTTTCAAGTGTGCAATTTCCAAGCCCTGTGTTCAATGTTTGCAGCCTTGTTCTAACCCTGTTTTTATTGTTTTTCCTTCAATAAAACTATTATAACTCAAACTTTCTTGTTCTGGCCTACTGAAAGATACATGGGGTGAATTAGTCCTATATGTCTGTCCTACCCCGTGACCCCGCTCAGGGCTTAAGCGGTAGAAAATGAATGAATGAATGTCTGTCCTACTTATAACAATTACTCTTATCACAGAAACCTATACAAACTAACAGTGACTACTTTTACTTTTGGTAATTTAGGTATATTTCGCTGCTAATGCCTTTGCACTATTATTTAAGCAGCATTGTGAATGTAGCACTCTTACCTGTAACAGGGCATCTCAGTAAAAACAAGCCGACCGGTTTGGACCTCACAGGGTCTTCATCAAGGCGGAAACATACAGGTGCAAACAATTTAAGTTTCCGTGCTGATGAACACCCAGTGAGGTCCAAACCGGTCGGCGTCTTTTTTATTGATTTCTCCTAGATCAAGCAGGTTTCACAATTAGCAAGCAAAACAAAAGAGTACTGGACGGCTAACGTTACCCTCTGATAAACACTTAATCCACAACAGTATGATGGTCAATAACCCTGAGTGCACTACCTGTAAATATATCTTGTACATATATATCCGTCAAATAAGTACTTTATTTTTTTATCTCTTTTGCTAATGCACATTACCTCTTTACATTCTGTTCTCTCAGCCTTATACTGTTTACTTGCCCATTGCTGTCTTACATAAGGACATGTACATGTAGCCGCTGTACCAGAGTCAAATTCTTCATGTGTCCAATACACCTGGCCAATAACGCTGACTCTGATTCGGAAAATGTTCTTGCTGGCAGAGGTTTGCTAACATCCTACATTAACATTCAGCTAGCGCTAGATAAAGTATCCCACCTGGAATAGAAAACATACATTTGGACAACTGCGTGCTGCCTACGTACTGAACGCAACACATGAAATGTTTACTGTGGTTTTCTACTGCAACCCACCTGTAGTGACCGTACTCTGACACCCGAGCCCGGCCACATGCGTGGTAGCTCATGAAGACAATCAAGCCAAACCAATCAGGTGATTCGTATGACGTCCAAAGCACTCAACTGCTTCAAACATTACTAGTCACGTGACCAAACCATGCCTCAGCACAGTGCTTCATGAGCTACCGTGCATGTGTTGGAGCCTCAGGTGTCATAGGACCATCAATAGTTTCAAATAAATATTGTACAGAGATAAATGTAAGAATTTACAGTTTTCAGCTGCTTTTGGCAAGTCTAGCAACGCAGCTTATCACATGTTGTCAAATGTAGTTTATATCTAAGGATGTATCCGCCCCATTATTTTTAGTCAACATAGGATAGTACTGAATGTTAGGAACAGTTTACTTTTCCTGGCAAACACACAAAAAATACGATTTAAAAGTTGTTTATTCTGCAAGTCATCTTACAACAAACAATACACCTGCATCAATCTCATCCATCCTTTCTGCATTCTTATGGCAATTTTGCACTTTTTATTTTTCCTGCACCACCACAGGTTGATTCTCCAACTAATGGTGAACACAGCACAAGGCTGAACTGCAGAATAATGGGCAGTAATTCAAGAGGTGTGGAAATTTTCAGCTGCTACACAGTGACTTTAAGCTTCTGTCTTCCTGCTCGAAACTTCCTGAAAGATGGGATCAAATGCTCATTGTAGCACATCATCATGTGTCACCTCCTTCCCGATGCCCTTGCCTCTGTAACTGGGCTCTGTAGAAAACAAGGGGAATATAGTGTCCAGATATAAAGAGATATACACAGGAAATGATTGAGATGGACAAACCACAGCACAGGCTGACTGTAGATATTTGCTCAGCCTTTGATTTTGAATCTCTTTAAGATGAGCACACTGGGCATCACCTGCTATTGTGATCTCCAGCTCAGCTGAGGAGAGGTCTGTTGGGTCCATCAGGAACATGTTGACATCTCCCACCGTGCACTGCTCCTCTTCTATACTGGGATCTGCCCATCGCTGCCTATCCAAGATGATGAATGCGCACTCTGGCAAAAAATAAAACAATCAAATTAAATAGATTTTCTTTAAGTAAAAGTTGAATGATTTTTACTAGTGCATGACCTCAAAGAATGACGTCTTATTCTCATATCATATCCAATGATTACCAGTTATTTATAAACACTTTAACCTAACAAATCTGATGGATGATGGTATGAATGTCTGGAAGGAATGATGTGGAAACCATAAGGACAGAACTTGAAAGCAGTGTTGACCTCATAAAGCAAATGTCACTGAATCATATTTCACTTTATCCTATCATAAGTTGTATTAAATAAGCTTCTGTTATTTGGACAATGTGTTAGCTTATTTATGTAGGCATTGTAAAAACTCTGAATGTTAAAAACCTGTTACTCTAACTTAGAATAAGTTAACAAAAGTAAAGGAAGTTCCCTCAGATTTATCTTTCCAGCCACTGCTGTATGATCGGTTCAACCAAAAGTTTTTCTCTTTGTTTTATTTAGGTAGTTTTCAGAGAAATCAAGGTGTCCAGTTATTCACATGAAAACTCTAAGGCTAAGTCTGGCAAGCCTTCAGATTTATAACAACTGCTTTAGAGGATGAATAAGAGCATGTTCTGTGTGTACATTTACTGCAGAAGAAGTCTTACTGTCATCATCTTCCCCCCAGCTCCCCTGCACGTCGTACTCCTGTTCCAGCGGCTGAGGTGGTCAGATGCTGCAGCTCAGGACGCTTCATCCATTCATGATACCTGAAGAGTGTAAACAGGTGGATAAGAGACAGGGACTACAGGTTTCTACAGCTTTAACTTAATCATGTATCCAGAGGCCAAAGGACTGGAGCGGGTTGTCTGTGCCAGTTAAAGAGACTTCATACTGTCAAAGGAGCAAAAGCTTGTATTGACAGCTGGGTCAGATGTGTCATCTGTCTAAGTTATTTCTTCACCTTCTGCCAGCATGGACAAAAAGCTTTCAAATGCTCCATGACAAATGAGACCGTATGATTTGATCGAAAGCTCCAGAAAAGCTGCTAAATGGAACTTGCAATGAGATTGTTTTCTCAACATTATTATTAGTTACAGACTTATTTAGAAGTCAAACTAAAACCCATCCGCCATGTTTAAACATTGATAGTAAAGAAATGACATTCTAACACTCATCAATAAAGATTTCAGCAGATAAAAATAAAAGAAAAAATTGACAGGCTTCTGGTGTGCAACAAGACTGCGGCCGATCTTTCTCAAGCTCCAGTGTTGAAACATCTGTCGTGCACACACTGACAAAGTAAAAATCACATGCAATTACAAACATACCTTTCATCTAGACACACTTTTATTAGCAGATGGAAATCGCCTCAAGGCAGGGGTCTTCATCAAGGCGGAAACATACAGGTGCAAACAATTTAAGTTTCCGTGCTGATGAACACCCAGTGAGGTCCAAACCGGTCGGCGTCTTTTTTATTGATTTCTCCTAGATCAAGCAGGTTTCACAATTAGCAAGCAAAACAAAAGAGTACTGGACGGCTAACGTTACCCTCTGATAAACACTTAATCCACAACAGTATGATGGTCAATAACCCTGAGTGCACTACCTGTAAATATATCTTGTACATATATATCCGTCAAATAAGTACTTTATTTTTTTATCTCTTTTGCTAATGCACATTACCTCTTTACATTCTGTTCTCTCAGCCTTATACTGTTTACTTGCCCATTGCTGTCTTACATAAGGACATGTACATGTAGCCGCTGTACCAGAGTCAAATTCTTCATGTGTCCAACACACCTGGCCAATAACGCTGACTCTGATTCGGAAAATGTTCTTGCTGGCAGAGGTTTGCTAACATCCTACATTAACATTCAGCTAGCGCTAGATAAAGTATCCCACCTGGAATAGAAAACATACATTTGGACAACTGCGTGCTGCCTACGTACTGAACGCAACACATGAAATGTTTACTGTGGTTTTCTACTGCAACCCACCTGTAGTGACCGTACTCTGACACCCGAGCCCGGCCACATGCGTGGTAGCTCATGAAGACAATCAAGCCAAACCAATCAGGTGATTCGTATGACGTCCAAAGCACTCAACTGCTTCAAACATTACTAGTCACGTGACCAAACCATGCCTCAGCACAGTGCTTCATGAGCTACCGTGCATGTGTTGGAGCCTCAGGTGTCATAGGACCATCAATAGTTTCAAATAAATATTGTACAGAGATAAATGTAAGAATTTACAGTTTTCAGCTGCTTTTGGCAAGTCTAGCAACGCAGCTTATCACATGTTGTCAAATGTAGTTTATATCTAAGGATGTATCCGCCCCATTATTTTTAGTCAACATAGGATAGTACTGAATGTTAGGAACAGTTTACTTTTCCTGGCAAACACACAAAAAATACGATTTAAAAGTTGTTTATTCTGCAAGTCATCTTACAACAAACAATACACCTGCATCAATCTCATCCATCCTTTCTGCATTCTTATGGCAATTTTGCACTTTTTATTTTTCCTGCACCACCACAGGTTGATTCTCCAACTAATGGTGAACACAGCACAAGGCTGAACTGCAGAATAATGGGCAGTAATTCAAGAGGTGTGGAAATTTTCAGCTGTGATTCTCCAACTAAAGATGAACACAGCACAAGGCTGAACTGCAGAATAATGGGCACATCATCCATTGTGTCACCTCCTTCCCGATGCCCTTGCCTCTGTAACTGGGCTCTGTAGAAAACAAGGGGAATATAGTGTCCAGATATAAAGAGATATACACAGGAAATGATTGAGATGGACAAACCACAGCACAGGCTGACTGTAGATATTTGCTCAGGCTTTGATTTTGAATCTCTTTAAGATGAGCACACTGGGCATCACCTGCTATTGTGATCTCCAGCTCAGCTGAGGAGAGGTCTGTTGGGTCCATCAGGAACATGTTGACATCTCCCACCGTGCACTGCTCCTCTTCTATACTGGGATCTGCCCATCGCTGCCTATCCAAGATGATGAATGCGCACTCTGGCAAAAAATAAAACAATCAAATTAAATAGATTTTCTTTAAGTAAAAGTTGAATGATTTTTAACTTATTCTCATATCATATCCAATGATTACCACTTATTTATAAACACTTTAACCTAACAAATCTGATGGATGATGGTATGAATGTCTGGAAGGAATGATTTGGAAGCCATAAGGACAGAACTTGAAAGCAGTGTTGATCTGCGCGCTCATCAAGCTTTATTTTCATCTGTACCAGACTTAATCTAAACACAGCTACATATACTATACATCATCGGAAAGCTCTAAATCTCACTATTTCAGCTATAAAAGGCATCTTATTGTCAGTGCAACAGCCTTTTTTCATTTTGCAGCAGTAACTTACAGCACACATGCAACAGCTCCTTACCCCCTTCTTCTCCTTCTTCTCCCTCTTCTCCTTCTTATTTTCCTCCTCCTCCTCTTTGCATCTTATTGTTGCATTACTGCCATCTTGTGCCCATAGTCTGCATCACCATCCTATTATCCTAAATTCTGTTTGTTCTTAATGTTACCCTCAAATAATGTAATCACACTCTTTTCCCACTTCCTCTCCTTCCAAATTTTACTATACTTTTTAGTCTTATTTCTATCAACCCTAATTCTTGTAACTGAGTAAACTTATGTACCCTTTCCACTGAATACGTCCTTCATTAAATGATTATATGATTTATTGTTTCTGCTTCTTACTTTGGGTACATTATATGTGAGCTTGTGTAAAATAATGAGGTTGAGTTTTAAGCACATCAAAGCATGCTTAACTGGGTTAAAAATTATAATAATTATAACTATTACTTAATATCTTTTATGGACAACATTACTTTACAAAAATCAGGCCCAATGGTTTCACGACCATTTCGGAGAGGAAACCTTGCAGTTAGTTGAGCATTAAAAGGCACTGCCAGCAGCAAAACATGGAAAACTGATACTTATATTAGTCACATAAATATACAAAACAAGTTCATCATATAACTACGTCTTTAAATAATTAGTCCTTGCTCCTGAGTTTCAGACAGGGGCCCCCACATTAACTAACAGCTCATTTGATTTATTATTACAGATGAGCGCTCTTCTGTCTAATACCCTAATCAGCATTCATGCCTTGCTGCTACGATTCGGGACAATTCCTTTTTATTGAGGAAGTGATCTCACCCTTGAGTGCCAGAATCAGCCTTTTTTACAGCCCATCTCCTCAGGGTCTCATCCATCACCAAGGTGTTTGGGTGACATGGCTGCTAGACGTGTACTAACTCATTTAAGGAGAGCCACATGCAGGGATATATCATTCAAGAACACTAACTCACTTACTGATGGCTGATGTGAAAAATCTCCAGCTTGTCCCAAATCCCTTGGTACACTCCGTGGGTTTTAACCACAAGTAAATAAGGAGATTATTTAGCTTCTGCTGACAGATAAGGAGGAAAAAAGGACAAATTTGTATTGTGATTTGTCTTTCTATCTATTAATTCATCTTCATTCTTAAGGTTTTGCGTCTCCATCCACCTCCTATTTAAAAATGTAAGATACATAAATATAGAATAGACCTTTTTTTCTTATTGGGTGTATAAATAAGATCACGTACTTCATGTTACAGATTAAGTTGTGATTGATTGCTACTGAATTCAGTGTGACCCTCCAATTATTACTTCCTTTATTGACTATAAAAGCCATGTAATCCAAAGTAAATGTGTTTTCAATCAGCACTCTAATAAAAGCAGGGCATTGCTCCTCTCCATAGAAATTAATTTTCAAAATCAACAAACATGGTGCTGCAAATGATCACACTGTAAGAAATATTGGTATATATTTGGTATTGGTATATTGTATATATTTGTATATGTACTATAATGCATGACTGACAAATGAATATTATATAAGTGTAATTGTATATTGATTAAAATGTTACTAAAATGTCTTATGATCATTTTTAACAACACGTGTTTTTATACACCATCAAGCTCAGTTACAGTGTGCAAACTCCATCCTTCAATAATGACCCCAGGATGCTAATGAAATGACCTTTCCAACATGTTTGCACAAACATGATGTGTTATCACTACCTGGTTGAAAGTCCATTTTGCTTCAGTAATCAAAGAAAGATAGAAAACATTCCAAAAATATTTCATTTCAACCAGTTTCATGGATTCTGAATTTTTCAATGAGGGAAAATGAGCAAATGTCATTTAAAAAATTCTTAATGCTAACATTTTTAACATTATCTGGAGGTCATAGCACTGTGTGAGGATTCGTTTTTGTGGTTTTGTTCAATAAATTTGCAGTAAATGTGAATTGCACACGTTAAAATTGCTAACAACTATGTGTAATAAAATTATATGTAACAAAATTAACTAAACAAAAATGTCCTTGTATCTTACACCTACATTATGTGTTCTAAAGAACATATTAAGCATTTACATGCTGTGTATAAATGCTAAATATTGCATGATGAAGCAATGACTTGGCTGCCTCTCCCTCTATCATGATGACCAGCACTCCCTCGAGCCACTACATTATATTATGGCTATTAATTATAAATCTCCATCCAACTGGGCTCTGATGGCCTTAATGTGCCGTAATGGGCTTTACATGGGATTGTTAGTCCACTGTCAGACTATGCAGAATAGACTGCACCCACTTAATTCTTAATGAATGTTTTAAAACCTTTCTGTCCCCCCTTTTAATGGAGAAAAACAACACTCGTGTTATGAGCTTTGCATTAAGGGGATGATCTTTATTGCCCAAGAATCCACCTGAGAATGAAATAGCACAACACAGCTCATCCAAACAAATGTAGTTGCATCTTTAAACATCTTTGTTGGCAAAAGACATGACGTGTATATACAGCAAAATGTACAGAACATACATTTAAACCGTCATATTGCTGCCATCACCTTGTCACAAAAATATGCACATTATAGTGTCACAGTACTTTGCATTAAGTAAATTAAGGAGCACAGCTTTTATTGTACCGAGATTCGTTCCCAGTTCAATACCTTCATTTAACATGTGCAGAAAAAGACAAATTTCAGATAGAGCTACTCTTCACACAAAACACACTAACAGATTAACAGAGCGCCATCACCGGTTTCCCCAAACTTTATTGCTAAAAGCAAAAGTAGTGCACAAATTTCATCCTAGACATAGACTTCTACCATAGAAAGGACATCAAACCCCTCTCTAATCCAGACTCTACAGTATGGCAGCCACTTTACATAGTTAAAGTTATAGCTATGGGTCTACACAACTCTACAACATTATGATCTTCAAATACAGACTCCACTTATAATCAGTTTGTCTTAAATTTCATGATATGGTATACATAGGTATCAGTGCTGTAGCAGAGAAGCTGGTATAAAATTATCTTACAATGATATTTAAAAATCTTTAAAAAATTATCCACTGTAATTGCTTGAATGTACGCTTCATGAATGCTATATTACTAAATAAAAAACAGAAAAAAGAACAGAGCCGCTTTTAAATAAATATCACGTTGCTGTTGTAAAGTTGTATCATGACATGTTAAGTACTCATTCCCTGAAATACTAAAATCAGGAGGCCAGTTTTTGTTTTGTGAGACGCTGATAATCTAATCACTTTCGTTTAATCACCTATGTATGAATGTGGTGACTAGACAGATAATTTTGCGATAAACAGAGCAGGAAAGCAGGTTATATGATATATAATATCGTGGACGTTTGCTGGTATTATTTCATAATATGAGCCTTTACTCTTTGGCAAGACTTTGGACACATTTACCTTTTCTCTATAAAAAGGACAAATAAAATCAGATCATTAAAAGGCTCTCCAAATGCACTAGAATGCAGATTAACAGAAATCCAAATGGATGAGGTCCTTCCATCTTCCATGTTGAAGATCTTCAAGTATCAGGTGCTCTTTTAACAAAAGAAGCTCTACTTTTGGCATGTAAATATCTCTAGAAGGCCGGTTCTTCTCCTTTTCTGCTGTCTGGTCATCCATCTTCAACTTTAGAAGGGAGTCAGGACACTTAAATTAGTCTGACAACATCCATGGCGCCATGACACTAAATGCAAATTTGACTGCTTTTCTCTGACTTTCATTGGAAGTAGGAGAGGTGTGGCTCTAAGAACATTCCAGCTGCTTCCCAGCAATTTAAAATTCAAAATTTTATTGTCAAATGCAAGCTGAAGTGAACAAATACATGGTGTCATACCCACGATTACCCATTATCCTTTGCTTCCACTCATCCTAACCTCTGCAAGAGGGGTCAGGATGAAGATAATCGTTGTTTGATGTCAGGCTTTGGCCTCCAGCAGTTCGAGGAATAGTTTGTGCATAGGCACACGGCCATCCTGTTTGATGCTGCAGAAGTGCTGGACAGCACGTGCAGCCGTCTGACGAAGGAGAGGCAGGGTCATGATCAACTTTCCGGCCCGTCGAGGGTCCTCTGGGTGGTGGGTGGCCTCATAGTCCTGGAGGGCCCCGTGAAGGACGTCCTGGAGTCTCTGAACAGCCTCTGAGTCCTCAATTTGCATGGAATCTAAAGACAGAAATGGAATTGGTCATGAAACTGAATGCTTTAATTGTAAAAGACAAAAAATATAGACAAGGTAAATGGAGGTCAAAGTTAATAGAGGTAAAATAAAAAAAAAATCTGTAATAATTCTGCACCTGAGTTAGCAAGTGCGATAGCCTTGAGGACAACAAACTCCTCCTTCTCCAACCCCATGGTTTTGTACTTCTTCACCAGCTGTAGGATGGCATTGTTGAGGTCAAGAAGTCCCGCCAGCTTCGACTGCTCCTCATCCATGACGTAGTCCTCGGCATACACCAGCTTGTCCTCCAAGGCTAGCGAGCGGAAAACCACTCGAAGAATCAAAATCTCCATCCAGCCGCTCTGCAGTAGACTCATCTGGTCTGCCAGTGAAAGAGAAGGAAAGCCTAGAAAGAAAGAGAATAAAACAGACACATCAGATATACTGTAGTGGGTAAGAACTGTTTTAATGATTGTATAGCCTAAGACATGACACAGATTTAAATTTAAGAAAAAAATCCAGAAATTAAAACAGTCATTTGAGATGCAGAAAAAAAGGATTTTAAAGGGGTACTCCACCCATTTTAATGGTTAGTCCTACTAACGTGAAATCTTGTAAAAATTAGCTTTTTAAACTGATTTATGCTGCTGTATTACGGTTTGTTGCAAAGAGCCAGATGAAAAGAGTAATACCATCCCCTATTTTAATGTTCTTGTTTTAGGATGGACATGTTCAAATTCAAACTGTGGATCATATCAGACTGTAAGTGATCATCTAACATTACTGATAATACAGAATGATTTCTATAAAAGTGGACCAAACAAAAGGGTACAGCAAAGGACAGAGGGGGTGACTAGGTGGTTCATAACACTGTTAGACACGCCTACTTTGACATTTACACCCCACAGGACCATGATTAAATCTGCTCTCCTACCCAGCATGAACCTGCATACACACACCCACATACACGTTTACTACAATTAAGCAGCTGATTTTACAAGGCAAGTGGAGGGGGTGGGGGTTTGTGTTTTTGACATCATCACTGATTGTTACCAAGATCCACTGCTCTTTACAATCACCATGGGGACATCGGTGGCGCCCTTTTCCCCACCATCACTCCCTGATTGATTGGAAACACTGTCTGTGCACAATTTCATTGGTCGATAGGGATCAGTATTCTGGCACTGGACCATTGATTAGGGACAGGGACCTGTGTGTTTGTGTGTGTGTGTGATGAAATCTCAGGCAATACCAGGAAATACAAGGTAAATGTTCAATAAAGAGAACAGAGCACATTTTAAAGGGACAATGCAAAGGACACCGGAGACAACAAAGAAATGTTGACATGTCTTGCTAGTGTTGCAGTAGCTGTATTACCTCAGCAGCTACACTAAAGTCACCTTTAACACATGCATTTGACAGCCAACTTGCAGCACAGATTCAAAAAGGCCAAAAGCAAACAGGGCAGTTGGTCTTTAGCCAGCAAATCTGCTAGTCTGGCCCTCAAACTCCAGAACATATCACTGTCAAACTGCCAGATAAGAGCAGACACAGAGGAGGGGAGGAGGACAGTCAGGACTGTAGTCCCATCGCACTCACCTCCCCCTGGGCAGGCAACGAACCCAGATGGCCTAGGCTGCGTCGCCCAGGATCCTGGTTCTCCCAGTGCTGGGGGTTGTGTGGCCTGCCACTCATCCAGAACTGATGTGACATAGCCATTACGCTGTTAGGATGGGTCAGTCTTTTTTTTCTTTTTAAATGCCCATTCTCTCTGTGTTTTTGTCTCTTAGATCTACCTCTCATTCTTTGAGTTGAATCTCCTCAGCCTGTTCTGTGGATGATACTTTTGTCCCTTTCTGGCATTTTGTCTTCCCTCTCGTGATCACTCTCTCACATCGCCTCAGGTCACTCTCATTTCTTCTATTTGTCTTTTTGTTCATCCTTTCCCCCTTTATCTGCTTGTTTCTTTTTCTGGTTCTCTATCATTTAGTTTTTGATTAACTGTGTGATATCATCAGACCTACAGTATATAATCTGACAAATAATCATTTGTAGGATTCAAACTGCAGCTTATTTTCAGTATCAACAAGTGCTTATGTATCTGTATTATTGTACTGCTTCTTTAAATAATCAAATTAAATTTGATTTAGTTTATAGAGTCTTAAAGGTAAGGAAAATACTCATCATGTCATTTGAGAACAAACTACAGTATATCATGTTAAATCTAGTTTTACAAGCAACCAAATAAAGTATAATGTTTTATAATGATAACAAATAAAGAAAAGGTAATAAGGTGTAACCAGTGAATGCAGTCGCTTTGCACATCATTGTATTGAAAATACAATTAGAAAATGTTCAGTTTTCACCCAGCAATCTCTACTCAATAAACTGAAATGACAAAATGAAAACGTGCTTTGCAAATTTAAAATCTAAAATCTCTTCTTTACAAAAGTCTATGTGCGTGTATCATGTGTGTCTACACTAGGGAAAATGTGAAGCAACTGACTGCCAAGAGTTTAGAAAGGCACACACAACTGTTTAAAAGTCATCCTGACATGACAACCTTTCAAAAATGTCATATTATTCTAAAAACAGAAAGAGGGATATGATACCCCATGACCAATAGCTGTTGTATTAGTTTAATCATTGTATCACTGTTCTTTACACGCTCTGAACACTATCAATTTTGTTGTAGCCCTGAAACAAATAAGTTAAATAATGAATTATTTAAATAACAGAGAACTAACTGGCCCCATTCAGGTAAAGTTTAAGTAATTAAAAAAGCTACTGTATTTAAAATGTAATGTAAATGTAAGAATTTACCACTTTACCTATGCTATAGCAATTTAAAATAGGTATTTTCACTATTTTCTGGCATTTTATGGACTGACAAGGAATCGATATAACCCTGAAAATAATTAGCAGATTAATCAATAATGAATATACTACTACTGTGTACCAGGTCTACATTGTTAATTCATTTGTTGATCAAGGATTGATTGAACATCCACATAAAGACAGTATTGGTTTTAATAATCTGTTTCATTTTCATACTGGTCCTGTTTTTATTTACTGCCAAACAAATCTTTTTTAAAATACTTCTGTATTTGATTTATTTCTAAAAACATAAAGAAAGTGAGGTCTGGGAGAAAATTTAAAAAAAAATTACAGAATCAACTCATAGCAGTAACTGTTATACCCTATTAACTATATACTAATATAAGTTACTAAGAATTATTGTGAACATAAGGGTCCCATTTTGTTTTTCCCATTGTTTTTCCTTCTGAAGCCAGAGGGTAACAGTCTTTTTCTTTCATTAAGCAAATAGAGGTTATTATGTAAATGAGAAGAGCGACAGGAGGATCCCTCTTGAACCGGTATTTTGTAATAGTCTTTTTACTTAGGACCATAAAAATCCTCAGGAGATACAGTATGTATCACTCTTCCTCAGGTCTCTGGGTGTATTTCCAAGCTACAGCGCATTGAAAGAACAACCTCATTTCTGATCCAAAACCTCTGAGACTAAACTACACACTTAAATGTTTCGACATACTAACAGAAGACAAATATGTATTATGTGTGTGGTCCACTGACACTAATCCACTGTTTGTTGTGTGTGTGTGTGTGTTATAAAGGTCTCCACTTACAATTACAACCTCCAACATAGCTGCATACCAGCATTTTAATCCCACAAATCCGTCAGAATGCACTTCCTCTCTACTTTCCACCTTGTCATCCAAAACAAAAAAAAAATATTCTGGACATCCCTTCTGCTGTTGCTGTGTCAGAGGAGACACTAGGTGTGTTCCAAGTGTCAGGAGGATTTTTGCAATTCAGGCTGCATTGGGAAATAGCTGCAGCCCAGGAAGGGAATTAAAATTTCCAGGTGACCACTGGTCATCTGGTTGATATATTAGGAGCACACATTAGTCAGCAGGGGCATGGCACACAGTGTAAAGTGCGTGCACACACACAATGACTGGCAGATAACACATGGTCGTGCCAACATACCCTCCTCTGGCTATCCAGGAAGCATCTTGGCAACAAGTTACAACAATTTCCTCATCTGATCCGATTGTAGACTTAATGTGAGCTAATGTGTGTGGTGGATTGTGTGACTGAACAACTGGGTGACCGACCGACTGAATCATACCTGGGATGTGTTTGGCCCAGCCGATGTTGACCACCAGCTCCCTGTCAGCCAGGTCACACAATGTGGTCAGAGCCTTGATGTCGCTCTCAGGTACAGTGGGGTCCGGCATGGCAAAGATGCCCTCAGGCTCGGCCACCAGCAGCAGAGACACTACTTTGTTCTCTACCACACCACCAACAGAGACTGAGAAACACAGAGAGAGAGAGAGCAAACAATTACAACTTTTATTATTATTTCAGCCTTTATTTAATTTGTTATTCTCCCTGAGATTAACATCTTTTTGCAAAAGAGAGATGTGTCTACAGTACACTGTAAAAAAAAAACAACATTTTATTTTACAGATTACAAAATGACTAACAGCTACAACTACGTTTTTCATGTCAACTGAACAACAAACTTTTGTGAAACTACAATTAATGCTCAATACGTATTCTAAAATTAGTGCTATATTGTTGTCAGTTATGTAGTTTAAATGATCGGTTTTATATTTTTTAGTAAAGAAAAAGGATTTGGGTGTTAAAATTTTGTATCTTTTTTTTAACATGAAAAAACTTTTAAATACACAAGATTTCATTGAAATTTAAAAGCAAAAAATATGCATTTAACATTATGGGGAATTGTTTTATTTGTCAGCCCAGCTGCCAGAATATTACCCTTTATTTAACTTTTTTTTACAGTGTAGACACACAACCTGTCACATACAAACACATACTGTACACACAGCATGAGATCGGATAGAAAAGTAAAAAATTAAAAGTTCACATTATAAAAATCCTTTATTATTCCTTATATGTACAGTATATAAGAATCTACAATATTTAGTTTTGCCTGTGCAGTTCATTGCATCCATTTAGAGCTTCTCATGTCAACTATTAAAGCCAGCAATGATTAATGCCAACTCATTAGCAAATACTAGCTATAAAAATGATTAAATGTTCTCACAGACAACATCACAGGAAGCGTGGTTTTACTGTTTTGAACTCACAGACCACAACACAGCCAAAGTCAAAGGAGTCTATTAACACAGCCTGGCTGCATGTTCATGCGTCATAGTTGATGTGAAGTGTTGCTTTTATACTTACATGTTTTTTTCTGGGGCAAGGTGTTCTGTGGGTGCAGATATGGGCTGTTCTCCGCATCAATTCTCCTCTTGTACTTTTGTCTGCCACCTCGCACCCGGTCCAGACGCACACCTACAAAAACAGGACATTATTGATGCATTTGGTGCTACCGGCACACTTTAAATAGGGTATACATGCCCGGCTGAAGCCCTAAATCCACAGAAGTGACATAGAATCACACTGTATGTATCACATGCATAGATAAAGTTTCTTATACAAATGCAGTAGTTTCATTATGACAATAAGTGGTATTTCAAGAACTTGAACATATTTCTTGTTAGATGTTTTTGATTAAAAGAGCATTTAGATTGTGAACAGACAATAAAATCATTTATATTTGATGAAATAAATAATTCATTTGGAGATCCTGATAGATTGTTCATTTGAAAACTGAAGATTTGTATGAAGATGAGCATTTTTAGTACAAGAATCATAATATTGGCATCAGTGTGTAATGTCTGCACTCCAGACAACACATTAATTTGAAAAGACAACATTTCATTTTTGCTTGAGTCTTTGTCAGGTTGTAAAAAAAAGACAGGGTGGTTTGGAGTCAGTGTGCAGGCAGTACTTTTTTCATCAGTAAAGTATTTGACACTGACTGCAATTTCCAACACGCTGGCCGATCATGTCCTCACAATCCCAAGGAGACTGAATGAGACCTGTCTGGCACAGCAGCATGCATCCTGTAACATGACACCCAACAACTTCAGAGCAGCCAGTGACAACTGCTCATCTTAAGGAGCATTGTGACAACCTGTCACCCTGGTGATGAGGATTTAACTGTGTGAGTGGGTGTGTGTGTCGTTAAAACAAGAAAAGTCGATCGGCTAAGGACCTCTGGTTGAGCATGACAAGGTGAGGGGGCCAGAGAGGTTCTCACTCTGCCAGCTGATGCTTTTGATAAGACATTCTTAAGTTCATGGCTCTTTTTTGCTCATTTCAAAGCTTCTGGACTTAAACAATGCACTAAAAGTATCCCAGAAGTGGAAAGATTACAGCTGAGTCAGGGACATTGTCAGACGCATGCATCTAGCTGCTCCACAATATCCAAAGTCAGATTACCCACAGTTCTAGTTTCTGAACTTTCATTTATGATCCTTACTGCATTTAAAACACTATCAATACTGCTATGGCCACACTTACCTCAGCTTAGGAGCAACTGAGAGACTTCTGAATTGCCCACCCAGCAGATTTACAAGTTGAGAAGTTTACGCTCACACTACAGAGAATGGACTGTTTTGCTGAAAACTCCATCAAAGGACTAAGCTCAGATCTCACTGATAAAGTGGAAGACTTGGACATGCTGCAATAACTCGATTAAAATCTCTAAGGTATTTACTAAATTGAAGAGACTAAAGGCCAGTTTCATATACAGTATCTTCAAGAAACCCGCTTGCAGAACAATGACCATCCAGACTCTTCTAAATAGTTTCAGATTTAAACAATTTTCTTCAAACATATCTAACAAATCCTGATGCACCAGTCATCTTACAGGACGTGTCAGTAAGTGAAAGGTCTTGATCTGTTTTGTCTTTTTTGGAGTGTCAACAGGCCATCTGGAAAAAGAATAAGTGAAACAGTTTTCTGTATGGTGTTATGAAGTCTAATAAAAAGAGGAAAAAGAGAAACGCTGATTGGCTTCATACTGAAGAAACATCACCAAGCACATCCCTGAAGAAAATGCATGATTCAGGTCTTAAATAGTGGAGTTGGGTTATCTGATCTACACAGTGTAAATGACCATAGTGGCCCTGAATAGATCCATAATGGCACCCATGTCTGTAAGAGACACTCAGCGGCCATTATTTGCCCAGTGATACTCCATACCCTGGAGCCCGCAGCTTCCTGTGCTTATTCTTGCTTATGCAGATATTTATGAAGCACACACATCAATGTCCACAGCATTAAATAACACAATCTCCTCTTAATCAGGCATGTGAACCCTGTTGTATAGGGTTATTTCACTTCATGTGCAGGCACTTAGTTTTTTGCATCACTGGTTTGTAAAGATAGTGTGTTTTATAAGCATTCTACTCACCATAACTATTTTATAGAATTTTCTGCTTTATTAACTGATGAATGATGAACACAGGTGGGTGAAAGATAAGATGGAAAGAGGGCGTCGTTCATAACAAAGCAATGGTGTGAGAATGTGGTGTGTGATCTTTACTGTACACCAACATGCTCTTCCATTAGGGAAGAGTTGCACCCTATTAAAAGTTCTTATGTTTACCATGTGCTGCCTCCTTTGTGTCTGTTGAGGCTGTGGTTTGACTGGCTGACCGGCAAGATGCCTGCACCACTATTATGAAATGTCACGCTCAGATGTATGACAGTACCTTTCCACATTTAAAAGGTGGAAAATTTTGACAGATAAACACTTGTGACGTTCTTACCTACCCACTTCCTTAAAGATTCTATTACTTTATCCTATATAAACGATTTTCTTTTATAAAGCCATGAACCCCTTCACTTTGAGAAATGGGGGAGTTTGATTTAGTTTACACTGGAGATATCTGAATTTGAGTTTCAAACTTGGAAAAAGTCGGTGTCAGGAATTTCCCTGCACCTGTCAAGGCTCAACAATATTTGAACCAAAATCTGGAGATCAGTTGTTAGGTTGTTTCCACGTGTTGTCAGCATAATCGCATCAAACCACACCCCACAGTCCTGATGAAGCAGATTAGGAGTGAGATTTTTCCCCAAGAAGCTTTATTTCTGAACACCTGAAACCATGTTTTCGGGGTCTTCAAAGCCACCTTTTGAAGTGAATGATAAGTAAATGATTACCAAACATTGTGAATCTCTTTGCAACTAAAATTTTTCTCACTATTGTTTTCTACACATAAAGTCTGTAAACATCTCTAGACAAATCTAGTAAAAACACCTCAAATTTAAATATGGTTTTTGTCAAATTATTTCAGAGGTCGAGAATTAACTTTCATGCTTCACTTTCAAGCGTGTATACAGTATCAACTCATCTAGCTCCACGACAACTGTGAGCAAACATCATCTGTTGATGAAGAACGTGATACACAGCAAGTGAAATGTCCGGAAAAAGCAGGTAAGTGGACTTTAACTTAGGAGTGTTTTGGCAAAATAACACTGGATTAATACAACATTGGTGGTCGATATATAGAAAAGATATTTTATATGGTACATCTGTGTGTGTTTGGGCCTCACAATTATTCAAACAGACACATATCAGAGCTAAGGGTAACTCACCACAGTGGAATGTGCTGACAACCACAAGGCCAAGAATAGCTATGGTGGATAACAAAACCCACACACACGCCTACCTCCTCCCTGTTTTTGTGTACAGCCCATCAGAGTTCGATAAACATCAACTACCTCGGCACTGATCTATTTTTTGCTGCCTTCATCACTCTGCCTTCTTTTGATGGTGTGTGGACGTTCACACGAGGAGCTTTGCAAGGTCACAAAACGCACACAGAAAAGCAGGATCAGGAAGATATCGATCCAGATTGAGCCAGGTTACTGTGCTCATTACTGCTGCCACCACCAGCATGTGCTCACAATAAACAATCCCACGCTTTTTAGATGTTGTGACAAATGTACACATGGCTGCCACCAACGCCACTATGGTGTCGCCTTTCCTGTACACTGCTTCTTGTCAACAGCTGGTAAGAAAAGCATTTGGAAAGCTGGCAGCGAAAGGCACACATAGTCCCTTCGTTGTGCTCTGAAGCTTTTCTCAGAATGCAGATTAACACAGTGTGATTAACACACCCGAGACCAAATAACTTCAGCTGGCAGGAAGTGGAGATGAGATGGTAGGAAGAGACAAAGAAAGGAGGGGGCTTAATAAAGGTACTGTTGCACCTCTGCCCATGAAGCGTGAAACCGTTAAAATACAGAATCACACATCCCAGCTACATGTAAAACCGCATTTTTGTAAAATATTCTACACATTTTATTAACACACATGCTTTATCTGCTCTTAGAAGCAACAGTAACTGTAGAAATGGGCACTAAACTGGGCTTAATTAAATCCTGCTTGGGGTCTGTATGTCTTTAAGCTTTGCATTTAATACAGCTCTGTCTCTCCCCATTAAACCTCACAGGTCCTGTGTCTCAGCCTTTACTGCAGCTTCTCCGGGAAAGAGGGCGCATTACGAGGTAGCTTATGACGGGAGTTACGAGAGGCAGTTTGCATTTCACGGAGGTCCAGGGATCCCACAAGGCTTCTGGAGGAATTTACGAGGGGGAAAAGGAAAGCAAAGGCGGTGGCAAGAAGAGGGGGCGTTGAGAGGCGGACTGGGATGCTGTTGATGCCCCTACCCTATTAAATGCAGGCACATACACACTAACAAAAACACACAGAGGTGTGTGCATACTGACATGATTAAACAAACATATACACATAATGATACATGCTATAATTCTGTGTAACACATTTAGGAACACACAGCAGCAGCAATAAACAGACGCTGTTGTGTGTTTAGAGGTATGCTATAATTCTGTGTAACACATTTAGAAACACACAGCAGCAGCAATAAACTGATGCTGTTGTGTGTTTAGAGGCAACTAGATAGAATTAAAGGATCATCCCAGTTTATTACAACTTATATCTTATTTTCATTGTTTCAGCCATAATTTCTATTGGTTATGAAAACATCATACTCACAAAAGTCATTGCTGAGATCTAGAGACACTGCTATAACAAAGTCCGACAGACCAAAACACCAGCGGTCTGAGCTCACAGGCTGTAAACAGGTCAACAACAACTGAGCTATATTAATTATATCACTTTATGTGGATTAAAACTAAAAAGTGAGAGGATTCAGAATTATAGTAAAAATACCTTATTGTACAAACAACATGATACATGCAGTAGGCTGGTCCTTAAAAATGTATTTTGAATAAACTCTGCAAATGTCCAGTATTGCCCTATTAGCTAATAAGCTAACAAGCTGCTAATAAGCAGTTAGCAAGTAGTTTTTTGTTTATTCTGCCCTCTTTCCATCTTCAGTATCGTTTATGATATTGACAGAAAATCTGCTTCGTCTTTACATTTACTATCCCTCAGTCCAGACACACACACACACACATTAGATCTGCCCTCCCTTCCTTATTATCATCTCACAGCAGGCAACAATTGGCCAGTACAGGAGGAGGTTGCTAATGTTTTCCTTTTTGAGTCACCTCTAAATCTGGACAACAGTATGTCACCACGCAGGCACACAGTCAGACTAAAGAGAGCACCTGACCACTGTCACAGACTCTGAGGAACGAACATACATGTCACCATTATCATTTCATATTTTGAGCATGCTGTGCATAAGGAAGTCTTGTGTAGTAGAAATTAGACATACAGTGATTTTGGAATGTGAAGGCTCATCATTAAAATGACTTGGTACTTTATTTATTTTACCTGACCATGCCTCGTACATAAATATACCTTAGGCTACTTGGGGAGTAGTGAGGCACCACACCATCTATAATTCAAATTCAGAACTTGTCTCTTAAACTTCCTAAAGAGTCCCTACATTGTGATTTTTGTAAAGCGTCATCCCAGCAGCCCTAAGCAACAACCCCCTCTAGGATTTCTCTACCTGTTGCAGCGCTGCATGCACATCTCACATGCACTGGCAGGCTTCTGAGACTTTTTCAAAGGAGCACTGGTGAGGTGATAATTAGTAGCCGTCTCCTCCTTCTCAGAGATACAGCTTTGCATTGTTCAGCCTTGTGTTTACTACACATACACAGACCTACACACACTTCACAGCTGGCACTAAGGGCTTGACATTTAACTGTCAGAAGTTTTAGGTTTCACAGGAGTTTACACAACTACAGTACATGCCATCACCAGTTTATCAGGTGAGACATTAGGAGAATCTCAGCTGGTAATGAGACTATTGTTTCCAGGAATGCATAACAAAGAAATTGCAGTCAGACTTGTATTAGCCTTCATTTTCTGGCTGATATTTCTTCGCCTTAGCAGCCCAAAGGATGAGATCTGAACTGCTGCCAACTACACAAAGCAATCAATTCTGGAAAAAACAACTCAAATAATGTTTTGACCAAGGTCTGAAAGTAATTTTCACTGAATGGCTGACCTTCTCTCAACATGCCCACGGCCAGACATTTCACAAATCGACAGGCTTGGCAGGATTTCCTTCTTCTCTTGGTGATTTCGCATTCATTGGACGCCGGGCAGCTGTATTCAATGTTTCCTGGAGGAGGAGAGAGAATATAGAAACACATTTTTGAAATTATTGTGGAAAAAATGCAGCAATAATTTAATATTATCATTTACCATCGACTGATTTAATTGGTATACATATGTACAAAAATCTCCATGAGATTTTGAGGGGTCTTGTGAGAAACAAGATGCTTAGTTAAAACATTTCAAGATACACCTGTAGTGTTTTGCATTTTGTGACTTTCAGTCATATAGTTCATCACTGAAGATTTCTTCAGTCAGTCAGTATTTGGACATCATTATGGTAATTATTTTTTCGAAAATCCAGAATGTTCCCCCTTTCATAAGAATCACAAAACTGAACTTCATCTATAATATTCATGGAAAAATAATGTACTTTTAAACTGTAAAATCTGGTTATTCAAAAGAGGCAGAGTTATATTTACCATGAAACTAAAATTTTTGTTAGTAAATCTGATGTATTAATATCAAGATACTGCTGTGTTGGTGTTAAGTTGGCAGCCAGAAGTGTTAACGTGGTCAGCTATTTTTAGATTTACACCCACATCAAAGGTCCATGATAGTTTTAGCCATATTAAATCACTGTTATCTGTTTTATTTTTGATCACTGACTAAAGACTGTAAACATCTGGTCTAGTTTTAGTCAAGGCCATAAATTAATATTTCAGTTAAATTTCAGCAAACAGCTTTGAAATGAGTTTTCATCCAAATGATTTTAGGCTAAAAGAAATTAAAATAAGCCACCTAATGACAGGTTGTATGATTAGGAATGCTGAGAGCAAGGCTGGTCTGCTGTAATTACATCCAGACACAAAAGAGGATAAAACTGTTAAGTCTGGAAAGATGCAACAAAAATAGCACATTTAATGCAATTAAACTCTTTCAGTAAGAGTTAGTCATTGCTAGGATCTCAATCAATTCTTTGATAACACAAACCCTGAGTATCCCAAAAAATACAAAATGTTTTGTCAGGACTGCGCCAAGGTTCTGTAATTTTACAGGTAGTGTACTAGAATGTATCATACTTTCAATGGTAATACTAGGTTGTAGAATACCATTTAAATACATTTGTAAAGAACTTCTTTGCATACAAGACATGCTAAGTACTAGACAGCTAGCTACTGCCTGGCAGACACTGCTCAAGTCTAAAACCGATCTTCAGCCATACTGTTACACTGCATATGGAAGCTAGGTCCAGGTTAGCACTTTGGCCGTGCATTCGTTATGTGCATAACCACCAAGAAGGTGAATTAGGTGAGCAGGAAGAGAAATGTGCAGCAGCCATATCCAGTGAAAGAACATTAGGGATTTGTAGCTGTTTGAAAAAGGCAGTCCATGTAATTTCCCCTTTTCTTTTTTTTTGCTAACATTGTTTGAAAAAGGCAGTCCATGTAATTTTCCATTTTCTTTTTTTTGCTAACAAAAGAAATATAGTGATTTTGTTCGTGGTTTAAACCGCATTTTAGCCGCAGTTATTCTTTATTGGAAACCGTTTCAGTTTGTTTTTGTTATGGAAAAGTAGGCTGCTGACAAATCCTGAAAGGTGCAGCCAGTTGTAGGCACTCTCAGCTGTCTCCCCCTATCAGGAACAGGAAGTATCTGATGAGCCGGACATCAGATCTCACAGCTGCTTATCCTGTTTGCCCTTTGAACTCACCTACAGTAGCCAACCTCTAGAGGCCTAACACTGTAACCTGCCAGGCCCTAGAGCTGGCCCGTGCTCCAACAGAGCACAGGACAATCCCTTTAAAACACCCACACAGCATACCCCTGGCTCTCACTGCTAACAGCTTTCGGGGATGGAATAAATGCGCACAGATTCAGCACCATTTGTCATGTGAAGCTTTAAAGGCTAACCTCAAACATGTTGACTATATACACGATGCACTGTAAGTTTAACCGCATATCAACTGTTTGCAAACAGCCTTTTATTTAAATCCTTTCTGCAGTTTGAGAGGTAGGAGGCGGAAGCTGTGAGCTAACTGACCAGGGCTTGTTTATACCAAAACAAATGCTCAAGGTGCAACTTCATCTGTACCATGTTGGTTGTAAAACAGGTTTATATGATGCTGGAAGGCATTATCAGTCTTGCACAATAAACCCTGCTACCAAGCATACGATGGCGCATGTACGTGTGTGTGTGTGTGTGTGTGTGTGTGTGTGTGTTTGTCTCTCTCTTACCCTGGATGGTCCTCTTGAAAAAGGCCTTGCATGCTTCACAGGAGGCCACACCGTAGTGGTAACCAGAGGCCACATCACCGCACACCAGGCACACCCTCTTGGCCACCGAGCCCAGCATGAATTCACACTTCAATTGGCCTTCTTCCTCCCTAAACCTCAAGGATAGAGAAGAAACAGGAAGGAAATGAAGGAGAGAAATAAGGGGACTGTCCTCAGATAGTCATAGCATTTCTATTTAACATCTGAAATGGGGTGAAACACACAAAATAAGGGGCAGCATGGTGTAAATACCAACCTGTTTGTTTCTCCATTGTTGGCCAACCCTGCTGTGTGACCATAGAGGCCTGGTGAGTCCAGCTCATTGCTGTGTTTGTGGCCCTTTGTCAGGGGACCATAGCTGGAATTTGTATCTGAGGAAGAGCTTCCAGGGCTGGGCTGGGCCGGGCTGACGTCGCCCTGAGAGCTGGGGCTGGAGGGCTCACGCTTTATAGAAGGGGGACAGGTGGGGTCCAAGCCCCTCACTGACATCCTGCCCAGATATCTGGAAGGGGGGGGAAAAAATTAAGATTTAATATATATATGTTTCTTTATGTACCTTCTTCTACAATCTGAGAGATCTGACTTTCAGGTCAGCTTAATGAGTCACCTTGGTGATGTCATTTATACTAATGGGCTGGGATGTGATTAGTTTTAAATCAGGCATCATTTACACAGATAGTAATCATGCAACAAGTATCTTTGAAAAAATGGTTACCATTAGTTTATGGGTTCCTATGTATAATTTCAAACCACAGAAGCTCGTGACATTTCTGCCAACTACGGTACACCTCTTTTTTCCGACATCAACCTCCCAGTGCTACGACTACATCCGCATCTTTCCATTCATGCATCCATCCATACCAGTCTTATCTAAACCAGCCGTTTGTGATGTCCAACATATGCAAAACTGCTGTTGATTACACTGCTTTGTTTTTAAAGAACAAACTTGCTTAAGCAAACCTAGGGAAATAGCCAAACCAGCATTTCATCATCACCATTCAGTCCAGACAGACATACACTTATCTTTATCTCTTTTGTTTTTTCGGCCCCTTTTCCTCTCTCTATTGTCTCCCTGCATCCTTCAGTTGCTCATTAGACTCAGCCTGCCAAATGTACTGCAGCCTACAGCAGTTATGTTATTGTTAGAAAACATGGAGGCATTTAAAAGATATGAGATGAAATGTGCCAGTTAATTTTGTGTTTATTGTATTGTACATAGGCAAAACTCACTAAAATGGTTTCAAAAGCAACATACATTGTTCTTTTTATTGATGCTTAAATATTTTCTATTCTAATTAGCATTACTGAGATGTATTTAGAAGTACTGTCTTTGAATACCTCAAACATTACTACTTAAAATAAATCTTGTTATTGACTTGCCTGTTGAAGTGGGTATCATTATTCTATTATTGGATTCAAATGTGACCACAATAGACTCTCTGTCACCATGTCAAGCAGAAAAAAGCAAGAGAAACCATCTGAGGCTCAGAGGAACTTGATCTGAACTCAGTGGTGGGACACATCCTGAAAATACAGGTGCTCATGTCGCAGCATCAGATGTTCATGTGTGGACTGGTTCCTACTTCTCTATAGACGCTTCACATTCATGTGATCAGGAGCACGCTAAAGCTTCTGGCACACGCACTTATAGACATGTATGTGTCATAAACACCCCAACACATGCTTACATGCAACTGTTTGTTACCAGGCTAACTTAAAAAAAATTCTCTGCTGTCTCTGTGAACACACACACACACACACACACACACACAACCACGAGTCTCTCTCAATCTAATCTTGGCCTGGTGAGCTGGATTTCAGTCTGTTTCCTGCCATGTAAATCAGCAATCTCTCAGCCACAAATCATTTGATAGGCAAAGACACTGGCTGCTTTTAACCACCCCCTGAGTAAACCATGGCCATGCACTATTGACCCCTCTACAAACCCACAGAGACAGACACAGATAGACTGACAATGACTAAAGAGACCATGAAAGCCAACAAGTGAGACCTTTCTATAAGAAAATCAAGCAACAGCACCAAAATCCGAGCTTCCACTGGCTTTTTTTAATGTCCACACCTTCCAAAATCACAAACTGTCAACTACTAAAAGTTGGCAGTGATTTTTCTTTTTTTCATTTGATTTGTTCTTATCAGTTTTTTTATATCCAAATTGTTTCTGACTATAGTAGATTGTTGTTTGAGTGAAGCTCTTGTACAACGTTTTAGACAACTGTAAACCCATAATGGGTTGACAGATTTTCACCTTATTAAGGTGTTATACTATCAAACATTGGTCTATTTACACATCTAGCAGACAGAGCAATATTACCCCTTCATTTGGAGTTGTGTTTCTGGTTATCTGACAAATGTTGTCCAGTTTCACTTTTCTATTAACTCTGTTTTGGTCTCCACCAACATCTAAAGGAAATACAGTATGTTCCTCTAGCTGTGCTATGTCATCCAGCTAGTTGCCAGCTTTGTTTGTTTGCTGTTTGGTGCTGGACAGATAATATGAAAACTCCTGCAACTGGAAGTTATGGTTATGAGAGTGGTGCACGTGAACCAGAATAATAACGATGCTTACTCTAAAACCAGTTCTCTGTGAGTTCATTCATGTTACACATTAAACTCATTTTATACACTGTTAATATTGAAATATTGCTTTAAACTTTGAAAATGTTTCTGTTACATGAAAAAGTTTTGTAAAAAAAAGCATGTTTACATTCTCCAAGGTATTGAGAAAGTATTACTTTGGCATTGTATCGGGATCAAAAAATTTCAAATGATCCTCAACTCTAGTCTTAAGCAACCAGTTTGTCCCTCATTAACCAATGAACCAGCTTCAACCTACAAGACCATTTTGCTCCACCACTGCCCCCTCCATCCAACCTCTCCAATCCACTTTGAAGACTATAAAACAGAACAGTAAAGAGATTTCACTGGTTGCTTTATTGGCTATCCATCACAGTTGTCCATATTGGTGTGCCAAGTCTCTGACAGGTACAGAGTGAGATATACTTTGTGCTCTCCCATTATAATGCATCACCAGAAGGAGAAGGAGGAGAAGGGGGTGGTTGGTGTTTTGCTTTCCTAATGAAATGGTATTAGAGTGGGGTGATCAGGTGTGACATTCACACTGACAGATTACTAATCTACAACTCCACATAAATGCCCATCAAAAGACGGTCGTTGGAGCTTCTGCAGCCCTATTCAGAAAAGATAAATCAGATCAGATGTGTGTGTGTCAGTGGGTATTCAGAGTTATCATACCTTACGCCCTTTGTGTCCCAGTATCCAAAACAACTCTAATGGCATCCTGGCAACAAAGGCCAAAATGCAGCGTGAAACGACAAGGAGAGAGAGAAAAGAAGAAGAGAGGCAGGAGGAAATTACGAGAGGCGGACAGATAGTGTGTGAAGGAGCTGGGAAGGGACAGAAAGAAAGGAGTCGTCGTGAGGCTCATTAACTTGGGGGTGCTGAAAGAAGAGAGAGAAGGCGACGCTCACTTTCAAACAAGCAAAGTACATAATGCAGACAATGACCTGTCGGATGAATGAGGGAGGAAGGGTAAGTGAAAAGAGAACGGGGAGGAAAGGAAAGAGAAGAAAGAAGAAACTGATCAACAGATAAAGAAAATGGGAGTCAAGCAAATGTACAGGCTTCAGAAATAAAAATTAAACACAACACAAGGTGACAAAGAAGGAATATCCTGTTGACTAGCCTTTTTTTTTGTTGTGGCACCAACCCTGAGGAACATTTCTTTAGGTCAGTGGGTTCTCAGTATCTTTTACTAATGAGCCAATAATAGACGAGTAGGGATCAGTGGCACATCCTTAGTCAGGTATTGGAGACGAGGTGCCTGTGGCTGCAGCTTGGACCCACAGGTTGTGGAAGCATGGCGAGCATGATGTAGAGGGCGATCATCTGTGTCCATCACTGCCTTTTCTCCTGTTCTTTCTGTGGTTGCTTCTGTCACAACTTGTACATCCACGTCTGTTCATCTGTTCATTTCTCAGCTAGGGAAAGTTAATTTAAATCCTAACGCCTGATGAGATGTGTTTTTAGTGTAGAGTGATTACGCCACAGCTGATAAATGCGCAGCATGTGCATGATAATGAACAGGATTTAAAAAAAAATGATTTCAAAGAAAGGCAATCAAAAAGCAGTCTCGGAGTAATCAAACAGCTGCTGCGCACGTCTTTTCACAGGCTCTATTCGTGTCAGTGTTTTCTCTTGAGAGAAGACTTTTAACAGCCTCGGATGACCCGGGCTGTTCCCCCATACCAGGGCTGGTTTCCTACAAGCTGGTATCACACACTCGCCCTCACTATCAACAAACAAGCTGACAACTGTAAGAAATGCAAACAAACCACCAGGAAACATTTCATCTAAATGTCTCCAAAGCACAAACAAAAAGCTTTATATTTCAACTACTTCTTTATGTAGATCCCTTTTATTACACCTCAGTAGTGCCGATTAATCGATTAGTCAGTCAACAGAATATTAGCCAACAACTATTTTGATCATCAGTCTTCCTGTTTTATATCATTGTAACTCAGTATCTTTGGGTTTTAGATGTTTGGTCAGACAAGGGAAGCAATTTTATAAGGTTATCTTGGGCTTTATGAAACTGTAGCAGCCATTAATTATTCTTTTCTTTGTCTATGTTATTTTTTTATTTGACAGCTGACGATGTGGACAGGCAGTGAACATGGGGAGGGAGAAAGTGGGGCACAGAATGGACCACAGGTGTTCTGGCTGGGAATCGGACTGTTGATGTTACGGTATGCACTTCTACCATTAGGCCACCGGATGCCCATTTTCTAATATTTATTTTATATTTTATTATATATTCAAATTTTCAGAAATAATAAATCATCAAATAATAAAAATCATTGCTACAGTAAGTGCAAGAAAAATACTGCAGGCCTAAAACAGCTGGTAACGAATGACAAAACACAAATGGCACAGATAAGGATAGCTTTACATGTTTCTGTGACATATGTACATTCCTATACACTGAACAATTGCAAGTACTGGATAAGCTGATATTGCAAATTAAAAGTCAATTCCAATTATCCAAAAAAAAAAATGATGATGCTTAACTGTGTCCTGCAAATACTTTTATGACTTTGGTTGTTCTTTCTCCATCACACTCAATTTTGCCGCAGAGAACACTGATTCTCACTCCGACTCTTGTATATCTGACATAACAGTGACAATGTCCCACAAGACATCGTGAAGGAACTGTCGGTCACTGTTACTGAACATTTCACATACAACAGCAGCTCACATTACCTGTGTGACACTTGAGATGCTCTTTAAAGTCGTTCTGCAGGGAGAAAGTACTTACTCTGCGTCAGAGTGGTAGGTGAAACACTCTGGGAGGTAGAGGTCGACTAAATCCATGTGCACTCTGCCACCATGCTCCGAAGAGGAGAAAAATGTTGTGTGTTCAGGGACGCCTGCTTCCAGCTGCCTTCTCTTTATGTTATTTAT